AGACAAGCACACATTCACCCACACGGAGAGGGATAGAAACACTCACACACACACACAGTCGCATGCTCAAATCGAGCTGAATGTGTTGTTGGCTGAGATGGAAAAGGCTTAACGCTAATGCGGCTGATTCAATGAGGAGCATGATGATGATGTATATGATTCAGATGATGATAATGATAATGATAATGTGCTAAGTTCATATGACAATTGCATAATAAATGGTTTATGGTTTAGCAACAGAGCTTAGCTAGATCTGGGCCAAAGGCAAAGGCAAGCATAAATTTAAATAGATATACATATATACCATACATATGTATGTAATATATAGATATTTAGTTTCAGCTGCTTGTGTCTGGTATTTGGGTACATAAATTTAAATGAAAATTGTATGTAAATGATGTCGATGACGGCGACGCTGATGGCATCGAGATGATGTCAAAGCGAAAGTCTGTTATGGTCAGCTTGGATGGTGGATGAGTTGGAGCAGGAGTCGGGGCAGTCACTGGAGTCGCTGTAGCTCGTGTAGCTGTGGCCCTTTTATTTATTAATTTCCTGTTTGCATGTGGTGCACCTCAAGCCGGAAAAACAATTTGTTAGCTTGTCAGACGCAACGACAGCTGAGCAGAGCTCAACTCGTGCCCACGCTCCGCAGTTGCGGTCCGTCTCCCCGTCCATGTCCGAGTCAGTGGGCAGCTCCGCCTCAGTTTCGATACTTCCTCTACCGGCAACTCGTTAACTTGGCTTTAATGTCAATATTTGTGCGCTTGCCCAATGCAAAATTTACATAATGAGAAGGGCAAATATTGCTGTGCGTTTGCTTTTCGCATTAGCTGCAAATTATATTGATATCAATGGCACGAGCAGGAGGCCAGCAGCAGCAACAGCAGCAGCAGCAGATTTTGCTGCTTCAATTGAGCAAGTGCATTAAATTAGCATAAAATCAACAAGGCTGCAAACTGAATTGCCACCCGCTTCTACAACAGTTGCAAAATACAAAACAATTCTCGCAAAATGAGCACGGCAAACAAGCAGAACAAACATCACCGCACGGCACGGTAAAGCCAGCCACGAGTCTCGAGCCGGACGACAGCTGCAATTAAATTCAATTTAATGTCCATACAAAAGTGTTAAACAACAACACGTACGAGAGGGCGTTGAGAATGTGGTCAGACTAGAATGATATCCTGGAAACGATAAAGAGAAAGTTCTATTGAATAAATAAATCTAGCAGAGAGGGAGAGAGAGAGAGAGAGAAAAAAAAAGAGATTAAGAGAGAGAGAGATGGAGAGGGAAAGAGACATGGAGGCTGGAGACTAAAATACTTTATTTAGTTTTATTTTATTTTATTTGTTGTTAAACTAATTCACTATGGTAGCAGTAAGCTTGTTTATAAAATATAAAAATTAAAAAAAAAAATATATATATAAAAATTAAAAAAAAAAAAAAACTAATTCACACAATTATAAGTCAAATTGCTCTGAACAGCAGGGGAATCCCATTCAGAACTTGAGCTATTATATAATAGAAATGCATACAAAATTAAGAGTTATACATCTAAAAAATATATAGTATGCCAGCTACCGATCCACTCAAATATTAATTCTAAATGTCCTATAGACAATAAGCTGCTAAAACTACAGTCGGTTTAATGTGTCCCCCAATAACATTTTTATTATTTTTAATAATTTTGTTGAAATTGCTGTCATTAAAAAAGTTATTTCTACGCAAAAATTCGATAAATTTTGCTTCCCTAATTAATTTGGATTAACTTTTGCAGACAAATAAAACTTTCAATGGTCGTTTGCTTAGAAGTTTTATTTTTATAAGGTTTGTATATTATCAAATGGAAAGTTCATATGAAAATACTCTGGCTCAGTCTATTTAGGTATAAATATAGTAAGAGATTACCTGTAAAACAAAATTCTAGTCTCTTACTATGGCAAACACACGTATTTATGTAAATAGACTGAAATACAGAATTTTTAAGCAGCTGGATATAGGTATATAAAAGAGTTATTAAATTTGAAAAAATGTCAGAGAGAGAGAGAGAGAGAGAGAGAGAGAGAGAGAGAGAGAGAGAAGAGATAGAAATTAGAACTTTGGCAAGCCAAGACGATCGGTCGTGGCTTACTCGTGCTGCCAGAGAGCAGAAGTCGGAACCTGCGAAGTCAACTACAATAGATTTTTTCTCTCTGTCTTTCCATCTCTCTCCCTCTCTCTGACTCTGAAATCGCCTCTTTCCTATGATCAACACATTCGGTTCGTTCCAATACCCAAGGCTACATGCCATCCTGATTTTGGCCTCCATACCCGACTCAAAAGAATTCTCGCCATCACGCCAGTTGCTAGATGAATGCCTTTGGCTATGGCATGCCCCACTTTCAATTAATTTTATGCATAGGGCATGGCAACACACAACATGTAGGGCCAACTAGAGTACGCGTGGGAGTGGGCGTGGGGCCAGTAAACAGCCAAAGGCCAACGAGCAACAAACAACAAACAGACAAATGCAAACCGACTGTCTGCTCTGCTGCGAGCTGTGTGCGATTTTATTAAATGCGGCACACAATGCAAAACAAATTTCATATGCAAACGCCTGACGTTTTGTTGATAGTCTAAAATGTTAAATGTGCCACGCCCCCGCACGCACCCGCCGCCCTGCTGCCCTGCACTGTTTGACCGAGCGAGGCCAGTGACCGGCAGAGGCCGAAAGCCTTTCAATATGACCCAATTGTTGGCCTTAATTTCAGTGATACCGCTTTGGCTAACTACCACCACAGCTGTGGGGCCATGCGAGTTCGAGTTGACCAAAGTGACACACACAAATGACAATAATCAAACACACAGCCGCACACGCAGCAAATGACAGGCAGTCATATGCCAGCTCTCTGGACACACGCTGCGTATGCGTCATTCGATATCTATACAAATTGTGCATGCAGCTGACATTTCAGCTGTCTTCCCGCTGCTGCTGCTGCTGCTCTGGCAGCTCCGAAAGCCAAAATTGTTAGAATGCATCCATTCGCTTTTGATTGAGCGCAATGTGTTTGTATCCGCCAACTGCTGCAGTCGGATAACGGCAACATATTTGTTCGAAGTTTATTATCGTCTGCGCAAAAGTCAGAGTTTTGGCATGGCTGAAATAAATGTGAATTTATGAGTCTCGCTTGGACGTGATTCTGACTGCCAACTCTTAAGCAGGCGAACAAGTGCGACAGATATGAGACCATCGACTGCAAGTGAATTTAAAATTAACCATGAAGCTCGCTTTTATTTTTTGGAAATTTATTATTCTCTAAAAAAAATAAAAAGCTATTAAAGCAAAATATCATATAAGTAAAATAAGTTTAGCTAAAAATACTGGAATACGCTTGTCTACAAATGTTTTTTATTTTATTTTATTTTAATTTATTTTTTATTTAAAATTTTCATTTAATTTTTATTCATTTTTTTATTTTTTCATTTATTATTTATTACTACATTTTAAGGCCTTTAAATTAAAAATTTATCCATAATAATTGTTTTTTATTTTTATTTATAATAATTAAAAGTATTTGTTTTTTTTAATTACCCAACGAATTATTCTTATTTTGGTAATTTTTACTATAAAAACTATAATTGTTACAGTCCCAGCCTTTAATACAATTTATTTCCTTTTGAATAATAAAATTAATAATGAATAATATAGTGAATTATAAAGTATAATAAAAACAGGAAAATTCCTTGACCATACATACATATATCTTGTGATAAAATGAAAGAAGAAATCAGTTCTGAGAACTGATATACATATAATTTTAATTTAGATTCATATAAATTAATTGAAATTCTTTATAATAACATCGAGAATATTATCGAATATAGCCAACAGTTAAATATATTCAATTTAATTTATTCCTATTTAAAAGGTAAATTCTTATTATATTTAATTTATTCCTATTCAATTGGTAAATTTGAAATAAATAATCTAATAAATCAGGCACTACTATTAATAAATCGCTATAAATAAATCATGCCCTATTAAGAATGCATACAGTACTGTCATAAGCAAAGATTAAGTAATTAGAGCTGCCGGCTCCTGCTCTGCCCTGCAAAGCATCAAATTCCAAGTCACGAACTACCAAACAGAGAGACGGTGCCATAACACAGCAATTAGCTAATAAACTTGGTTTCTTGCTCGCTTCTCTTTTCTTTTCTCTAGTTTTTGTTTCTTTAGTTTTTGGCCAAAGCACTCTAATGCTGTGGCTATTAAAAATTACACTGGTAAAAAGTTGTGCAAGTGATTTTTGCACCTGGCCAAATGTTCAGCGGGCAGCCATAAAAGTTTGTGTGTGGCCAAGAGTGACAGCTCTACGGCACGTTTCTGACCAGCTTGATGTGGTGCTGGCCAGAACTGTCTTTGGCTGTTGTTGTTCCAAAGTGAGTGCAAAGTTTACTTGCACTTTGGACAACTTGCAAATATATCACACGAGCACGCAGCCAACTACATACAACTACATACATATATAAGTTTATCTAGCTATGCAGTATATTGATATAAGACAGCAGAGGCAGCATAACGAGCATTAAGTTGCACTGCGCAGCTGAGACACATGACAGAGCAGAAGACATATGTACACGGTCATATAGTCACTCAGTTCGAGCATAAATCAAGACTAACAATACACACGCACACACACGCACACAGCCATCCGTCTAAGTTGAGCAACTTCCGTGCGAGATGCGACGAAGCTGGGCCGTAAGATTTTTGACAGCCAAGCAAACTGCGTGAACAACTTGCCCAGCTCCTGCTCCTGCAGATGCAAAAGTTATAGATACAGATACAGCTAGCTAAAGATACAGATACAGATACAAATACAGACAGTTGAAAACTTTCACAAATTGCTGATTGACGTTTTGTGATAGGATCGCCCCTGGCTGCCCCTGGGTTAGCGTAATTAAAAAAGTTTGCCCAGCCCATCGAACGGACAGCGAACTGCGTATCAAGCTCAGCCATTTCAAAGTTTTGTTGATGTGTGAGCATGCACACACATACATACACACACATAATATATACACATTTATACCTTGTTTCGTTGTACATCCGATTGTCTTTTCTTTATTGAGTTCTTTTGTGCTCTTTTTTGGTCAGCTCCGTAACTTGGAAACAAATCAAAAAAAAAATCCAAATCGTAACTAAATATAAATTATGCTCTACCTACTCGATTTTTGCTTTCTGTCTTTTCTGTTTTCTGTTTGCCTTTCTCTTTTCATGTGGGGGTGTCTCTTGTCCTCTATATGTTTGCTTCTTCTACTTCCTCCGCCTCTTTTCAACTAAATGTAATTTTAAAGATACTTTTTGTTTTGTTTTGCATGCAGCGCCGCTTGGGCGCCCAGATGCAGCTAGCCTGGTCATAGCTAAACATATACCCAATGTCAGATTTAAGATATGCGTGTCAGATCTTCTCATATAGGCTATATATAAACGCCACTTGTTGTTGTTGTTGTTGTTGTTGTCAGCTCTAGTTGTTGTTGATTTGCTTGCTGTTTGATGTTGTTGTTGTTGTTGGTTGCTGCTGTTCATCATCTTATGCAGTCGCTGCTTAGAAGCACTTGCGATGCACAATGCCGGGACCAGACTCATCGTACTCCTGCTTGGAGATCCACATCTGCTGGAAGGTGGACAGAGAGGCCAGAATGGAGCCACCGATCCACACAGAGTACTTGCGCTCAGGTGGTGCAATGATCTTGATCTTAATGGTGGACGGAGCGAGGGCGGTGATTTCCTTTTGCATGCGATCAGCGATACCTGAAATGAAATGAGAATTTCAGCATAGCTATAAGAGAGATATTTCCAAAAAGTCCCTTACCAGGATACATGGTGGTGCCGCCGGAGAGCACATTGTTGGCATACAAGTCCTTGCGGATGTCCACGTCGCACTTCATGATCGACTGGTAGACGGTCTCGTGAATGCCGCACGACTCCATGCCCAGGAATGACGGCTGGAAGAGAGCCTCGGGTGTGCGGAAGCGCTCGTTGCCAATGGTGATGACCTGGCCATCGGGCAGCTCGTAGGACTTCTCCAGTGAGGTCGAGGCGGCGGCTGTGGCCATTTCCTGCTCAAAGTCGAGAGCCACGTAGCACAGCTTCTCCTTGATGTCGCGCACGATCTCACGCTCAGCGGTGGTGGTGAACGAGTAGCCGCGCTCGGTGAGGATCTTCATCAGGTAGTCGGTCAAGTCGCGACCGGCCAGATCCAGACGGAGGATGGCATGTGGCAGGGCGTAGCCCTCATAGATGGGCACAGTGTGGGAGACACCGTCGCCGGAGTCGAGGACAATGCCAGTGGTACGGCCGGAGGCATACAGGGAGAGGACAGCCTGGATGGCCACGTACATGGCGGGGGAGTTGAAGGTCTCGAACATGATCTGTGTCATCTTCTCGCGATTGGCCTTGGGATTCAGTGGGGCCTCGGTGAGCAGCACGGGATGCTCCTCGGGGGCCACGCGCAGCTCATTGTAGAAGGTGTGATGCCAGACCTTCTCCATGTCGTCCCAGTTGGTGATGATGCCATGCTCGATGGGGTACTTCAGCGAGAGAATACCACGCTTGCTCTGCGCCTCATCGCCCACATAGCAATCCTTCTGGCCCATGCCCACCATCACGCCCTGATGGCGAGGACGACCCACAATCGACGGGAAGACGGCGCGCGGCGCATCGTCGCCGGCGAAGCCAGCCTTGCACATGCCGGATCCATTGTCCACGACCAGAGCTGATGCCTCCTCGTCACACATTTTGGCAGAAGATTAAGTTGAAAGCTGCAAAGAGACAGCCAGACGTTAGATCCTTGCGATCAGCGATTAGCACTGGCACAGGCGCCACTCACGACGTGTATATAGCACAGCGACAGCAATCAGAGTGATTCGCTCTATGGCCGACATCTGCATTTAAATAAGTTCTGTCCGTCATCTCGCCAGAACAATGGATATTTGTTGTTGTTCTTGTTTTTTTTTTCTTTTGCACCCTAGTAACATGTTGATGAATTCTGAGTTCTGTATGCTAAGAGCGCGGCCATGGGCGAGGGGCGCAGCGGGGCAGGAGCTGAGGAATGTGACAACACAGAATTTATTTTGGCAGACCATGCAACAATGGGGTACATTAACTATGGTGAGTGTGTTGAAAACATGAATGGGAATGAGTTTGCTTAAATTTGAGGGGAAGGAATTAAACTGTAAATTGTAATAAATATTGATGAATTAATATTCAGATATTTATATTTATATATGTATATTTATATACAAATATTTTGATATATTTATATTCGGTGTATGCATAACGCGAGTGATCATAGAAAAAGGGACACTCCCCCGCTCTTACAGCTCCAACATCAAATGGTGGTCTTACATATGTATATGATTACTTGTTCTCCCTATATGCACCTACTTTCTGAAGAGATGCTCTGATATTTGTGACTACCTACGTAAAGAAATGAGCGCCACGAGTTGCATATGCAGAGATATTTTTGAATCCCAAAGAAAAGTGAATTAAATCTAAGCATTAATTTTTTAGAATAATAAAATATTATATTTGTATAAAAAATATATATATATTTATAAATTTTTAAATATAAAAGACTAGTATGCATTATATATCATTTTTACTATTCTAATATTTATTTATTGTTATATTATTATTTAAGATATTCTACATGTTGTCTATCTAATTATTATTTATTTATTCATTTATGATTTTTGGACATATTTATTATTTTTTTTATTTATTTTTAATTTTGGACATATTTATTATTTTATTTGTATTGTTTTATTTATTTATTTTTAATTTCTGGAAACAGCCAACAAAAGTCTAAGCTCTTTTAATAATATTTATATTATAATAATGTATGTATTTTCATTATTCAATTTTCATTCAATTTTCATCATCTTTCATGTATTTTATATTCATTAATTTCTAGCCAATCATTAATATTCATTTCATATATTTTACTTTGACTAATTTATTTGCAGTCTATAAAAATCAAATCTCCTTACTTGAATCTAATATTATTGATTAATATATGTAAAATGTTTTAGCAAGTATGTTACATTCTGCTCCTTCCACTCCCACATTTTTCTGCCAACCCCCAGTCGCATGCCACATGGAAATAGATACTCAGTGAGGGTATCTCGCGGATTATGAAATAGTCGATTGCCAATTTTCAACTTGTATCATTTCATGTTCATCAAATGGTGGCTGTGTGTGCCACTGCCTGGCAGTGGTTGCCAGCTACGTTGCATGAGGGAGATGAGATGCGCCAGGACTTGTATAGGCATATGCGGTACGTACGTACGTTGTTGTTATATTTTTAAGTTTTTATATAAATAAATGCGTTGCTCTGAACAATGCATGCTTGCACCACATACTTTCGCCCCAGCGTGCGGCGCGAGCAGCCTTCTTCTGCTTCTTCTTCTTCTTCTTGTGCTTCTCTGTATATCACGAAGATTTGTGCCAATGATGTGACAAAATGATTTGACTGCCTGCACTCGCTCGGCCCATAGATGGTGCGGCCCAAGATGCCCCAAACGACACAAAAAGAAAAATGAAATACATTTAAAACAAAAAAGAAAAGCTAAATAATTTTAAATAAATGTATATATATATAAATTGCACTTTCTAACATTGTGAGTGTGCAGACAATTTCTCGGTTGGCAGTGCACTCGCATATCGCTCGATCTTAACGTAATATTAGCCACGAGATTTATATGCGTGCTGTTTATTATTTTAATTGAGTGTAGCGTAAAATTCTAGCTGGCAGTGAATTATTAGACACAGATATGCTAGAGTTTCCAAATGTCTTTCTTATTTTTTTTTTCTATATTTTTGCAAGTTGGATAACTGCTATGCAGCGCCCCACTGCAGTAGTTATAACTGCTGTTCGCACTACCCATCCACACACACACACACCGACAGTTGGGAAGTTTCTCAAGTGCTTGGTAAAACTATCTGGAAACTACGTGACTATTGCCAGCGGCAGGTACAGCCACTATATACTTATATATGTATATGTATGTATGTATGTATGTATATATAGGTATCATTGTCTGTTTGCTCGTTGCCTTTGAGTTGAACGCCAGTTGAAATATCTAGCCTGTTATCTAGACACGAGAGCGCCTAGGAACTAGGAGGGATTATGGGTCAATTGAAAAGTTTTCAACACGCTTTGCACTTTTTAATACAAATTTGCGTTCTCTGCTATTTGAGTTTTGATGCGGCTAAGCCCTTGCAGAATTTTGCATTGAAAAGAAATATGATCTGGAATAAATGCGCGGCACGAGAGAAGTTGTAGTTAGAGTTAGTGTTGGTTAAGGAATCGAAGTATTTGTCAACTATTGTCAACCATACAAACTAAGCTTAGTATATATATCCCTGCACTAAAAACCCATAAGGAATATGAATCTCATATAGAAGATAATATGTTAAACTGTGTATGCGTAGAAGATAATTTAATAAGCCTTAGAGATTTGGAACAGCAGAGAATATTGATAGTTTATTTTTAGAGAGAACTCAGATGACTGAGACAACTTTATATATATAACCACGAACATATATTTTGTCAATATATATTTCTATGAACAGCTTAAACTTTACTTCGATGGGAAGTAATTAATTAGGACAAGACCTGAAAATAGTCATTTAATTTGAATTTTATATATTAAATTTAGAGATTTTGTTATGAAACTAATTCCCTTCAGCGAAATCTCCAATTTTATAATATTTAATAATTTTTAAATAATATTTATATTATATTGAATTAATTAAATAATTTAAGAATGAGTTTTGATTAAGAAAAGTTGTAAGTCTGCAAAAGTATAAGAAATATTATTTTTATTTATTTTGTAGTTTATCATATACAAATATTTAAAATGATGTCTTTTAAAAATATACTTTTTTGATAGTTATTGTTTAAAGATTTACTCATTGTTTTGTAAAAGACAGATTGAAAATAAAAAATAAATATATATAAAAAAAAGTTATGATGAAGAAAAGTTTTATGTCTGCAAATTTTTGTTGAATATGAAAATGAATAATTTTATTATTTATTTATTTGGACATACATAAATGAATATCTATACATAAAACCAAATTTTTATTTATATACCAAATTTAATTAACCAATTTTATATAAAAAGCTTTGCCGAAAGTTGTAAATAATTTTCATTTATTTTGAATATAAAGAGAAGTAAAATATATAACACAAGAGAATTAATCTTCACATCATTTATCATTATAGAGGTATCATATGATCTCTTCTACAGTCCAACGCTCCACACTTATTATCCTAATCTCCAGGCGCAAACTCTTCGCCTGGCCCCGGCAATCATTTGTTACTGAGAATGAAAATGGCGCTACCCGAGACTTTTGGTACTACAAATGGCTGAAATGGGCGCAAACTGACCCAGCTCGCAACTTCCAAAATGTTGGCCAAAAGTGCTACGGTTAGAGTGCCAGCCAGCCAGAGTCCGGAGTCGTGATGCGTTGACAGGGCACAGCGCACGGAGCGCACGTTAAATCGCGTTCCGGCTGTTGGGGCCACGTTGGCCCTTTGGCACGCAATGCGGCGTGCGGCACTAAAATAAACTTGGCCCAGGCTTCAGACAGCGAAAACTGAGAGCTGAAAACTGAAAACTGAAAGCTGAAAACTGAAAACTTAGCGCTGAAAACTTGCTTCAATGCACATAAAAATTAAAATACCCGACGACGCGTGCATACCAAGCAACTCCCTCTCACTCTCCCTCTCCCTCTCCCTCTCTATAGCTCTGTGTGGCTCAGAAAACTGTTCACGTTTTATGGCCAATTTATGATTTTGTTTTCTACATTTTCTTTTCTTTTTTTATGTGTTTGCTGTATTTATGAAAAATGGCGAGTTTAATCAGCGCTTGCGCTTGCTGCTTGAGTCATTTTAATTTAATTTTCACTGTCAACAATGTTGCTGTTGGTGGTGCAGCCTCCACTTCAGTTGCAGCCACGGCAGCGTTGGCGTGCAACTGCGGTGGGCGTGGCCATGGCGTGCCCTAAACTTTGCACACAAACTTTGCGCCGAAGACACACGCCCTGACAGCTTTCCCTTTGGCTCTACACATTTTATTAATTAAACAAGTTGCCCGCTCAAATAATTTCCACTTGAATTAATTTCTCCCATGTGGCCGGAGACTGGCAGCTGTCATCGGGCCAAGCAGCCCTAATTACCCATCCGTTACGCCGTTATGATGTTGCCCGTACAAAATGAAAACAGAAATGTTTACTCTCAATTGCTCTTCAAATATTTACAGGGAATTTACATAGATCGTATCAGAAGTCGTCTTAAGTAATTTGGGGAACTAATCGATGGGCAGCTGCTGGTGCAGCCAGGTGCGTGTGCCGCCCTCGACAAAGTCAGCAGCGGCATGATCCTGGCCGTTGAGTATCCATTTGGTGGTCAGCAGACCCTCGACGCCCACAGGGCCGCGCGCATGAATCCGGGCCGTGGAGATGCCCACCTCGGCGCCGAGGCCGAAGCGGAAGCCGTCCGCGAAACGCGAGCTCGCATTGTGGAACACACAGGCGCTGTCCACGGAGTTGAGGAAACGCTGTGCCGTGGCATCTGCACGAAATGGAAAATGGAAAATGTTAAATTGAAAACAAAATGGAAAACTCAGAGAAAATAGAGAAAAACACACGTGCACACACACACACCCACACACTCACGAATTCTAATATGCAATGTGCACGTGTGCTGCGTGCATGCTGAATGCTGAATAAAATTAATTTCCCAAATGATTTAAATTTGCTTTGGCAGCGAGCAAACAAAAAAAAAAAAAAAAGAAACCAAAACTAAAACTAAATTCTGATCCCTGAACCTTTGGCAAGGTCCTGTCACATATGCCAAATGCATGCAACTAACGACTCGACATATGACGACTGCACTGCGCTGCACTGCACTGCACTTGCCCTGACATTGGATTTTTCCATTTAATTCAATTAGCTCACAGCTCAGCGCACAACATGGCTGAGTTAAGCTCGAATAGTCGAAAGTTGATGAGAATTCAAGTGCAAATGCCCAGTGGATGGCAGCAAATGAGTTGAATGCATCAAGCGAAATTAAATCTTCTTTAATTTAAGTCTTGCTGAATCGAATGACAAATAATGAAAAATATATAAAAACTATAAAACTAGATATATATATATATATATATATATA